AACTTTGCAATTTTGTTACAGAATCCATGCTGATAACTCACAGTAAGCTGATCATCACAGAAGGGATTATAGACTAAAGATGATCCCTGTATCTAGAAAGGTCAGTAACATTCACTTGCCGGGATGTGAGGCCCCCGTCATTTGTGTATTACGAGAGGTCAGTAACATTCACTAGGTGGGGTTTCCCCCATCGCCCGTCTGTTAGCATATATAGATAATACTAATTGGTTGATGTCCTGCCTAAGAAATAACTAGCTGAAATGGTAGAAAAGGCGATTTCTTTCTATAAAGGACAGATAGCGGTTCGCGGCCAGGATCCAACTAAATGTGTACACCACAAAGGCGAGTCTTTGGATTGGTTTTGTGAGACATGTTATGACGTCATATGTGCCAAATGTGTGTCCACTTCACACAAAGGTCATGACAATATCCTACTTAGCGAAGCTACTCCCGACAGCAAACGTAAGATAAAATCATTTATATATGAAACGGAGCCNACTTCACACAAAGGTCATGACAATATCCTACTTAGCGAAGCTACTCCCGACAACAAACGTAAGATAAAATCATTTATATATGAAACGGAGCAAAAAGAGCTGGTTGAAATTCAACTAAAAATCAGTTCAACACAGCATAGTCTGGATGAACACTTGAACCATTTCAAGAGTGTAGCAGAAGAAGTAAAAATGCAAGGGGAGAAACTTAAGGAGGATATTGATGTTTTGATAGCGGAAACACTAGCTCAGGTGAAACATTTAGAAGTAGAAAATACTAAACTGCTCACCAGTTACAAGAATGAACTCGAGAAAAAACTAGCAGACCTAAAGGAACAACTGAAACATTGTAAGGAAACTCTTCAGACAGGCACAGATATCCAGGTGTTTGACCTTTCAAAAGGACTTCAGACAAACATCATCTTACCTGAAAAACCAAAGTTAGGTTCTGGCGACTTCACCCCAAACAACAGAAGGAATACAATCCTGAAGGAGGCATTTGGAAAACTTTCCCTGAGACCAAAGGAACAGTCTCAGTCCTCCACTGGCCCTGACCAGTCAGATGAAACACCAGTTGATGATAACCCGCTACCTTCCGGACATCAACAATCAGTTAAACGGATCACAGACACAGATAAAGACCCGGAGAAGGCCCTTCTTCCTCAGATTAAGATTATATCAGAATGGTCTCCAGATATGATTACCAAAATATGTCCAAAACATGGTGGCGGCGTGTGGACAAGTGACGGGTACAAAGGGATCCACCTAAACAGTCAAGGAGAGATACAGCAGGAGATAAAGAGTCCTGTCTACATCTCATATATCACTTTATCCCCTACTACACACAACCTCTGGGCATGTTCTACTTCAGATAAGAGTGTCTTGGAGCTGACATCAGGTAAACTGACCCGCAGATTCAAAACAAAGGATAAACCCCGATGTCTGTGTATTACAAGAGATGAACATATTCTTGTGGGAACAAAACATAAAATTACCGAATACACTCCGGAAGGGAATCCCGGTATCGGCACCAAAACATATTTGTTGAAGAAACCGATGGTGTGTTCACCACAGAGTATATCACAATGTCCAATCAATGACAATGTCGCTGTCGTTGATAGCGATCTTACAGATGATGGTGGTCAGGACAATCCAGCAGTCATAGTGTTAGACAGAAAACTTAAGGAGATATACAGGTATAAAGAATCACAACATTACAGCGGATCTACGTCTCTACTTTTCCCCTATGATGTAACATACGACAGTCTAGGATTCCTGGTAATAGCTGACTTCGCCAACAGAGGCATACATCTGCTGAGTGGTGATGGACAATATCTGCGACAGTTATATACTGATATAGACCTACCCTTTGTTGTATGTGTTGACACGGAGGGAGTTCTGTGGGCGGTGTTTGGTTTATCCAACACTAATCAAAAGGTTAAACGTCTACAGTACACAAGTGTTTAAATAAAGCCATATTTGCGTTTACGTGTAGTACATAGGTTAAACTTTACCAAGNTTTACAGATGATGGTGGTCAGGACAATCCAGCAGTCGTAGGGTTAGACAGAAAACTTAAGGAGATATACAGGTATAAAGAATCACAACATTACAGCGGATCTACGTCTCTAATTTTCCCCTATGATGTAACATACGACAGTCTAGGATTCCTGGTAATAGCTGACTTCGCCAACAGAGGCATACATCTGCTGAGTGGTGATGGACAATATCTGCCACAGTTATATACTGATATAGACCTACCCTTTGTTGTATGTGTTGACACGGAGGGAGTTCTGTGGGCGGTGTTTGGTTTATCCAACAATGATCAAAAGGTTAAACGTCTACAGTACACAAGTGTTTAAATAAAACCATATTTGCGTTTACGTGTAGTACATAGGTTAAACTTTACCAAGTCATGTGACACATACAACAAATGTCGCATCAAACAATTAGTTTCTATATATTGGTAAGAATGAGTAAACGTTTCCAGCAAATACTGTCTTCAATGATGTGATGATTTACATTATAATTACCCAACGACGTCAATCACAAATGGTTTTGTTAATATATTTATGAAAAGAAAAATAATAACAATCTATGACCTTACCTTTTCAGTATTGAGATATATAAGTATGTACATATAGTCGTAATAATAATACCAATTAATTCCAAACTTGCGTATATATTCTATCTAAGGAAATCTCAATCCATTGGATAAATCAATTATAATCACTTGGTAATAATTTAGTCCATTCTTTATTTTCTTCGAATTCAAACTGTTACAAAGTATTATTCAAAACATG